GAGGTCAACGCAGGCCGAAAGCCACTTTTTTATTTGCGCATATGAATGACAATTGATAAGGCTTTAATCGTCATCAGACATAATTGCGACTTTCAGTTGGGAAAATATCAAGGTCACTCGTCGAAAAAAAGGTCAAGATGTCAGGTGATCAAGATTTTCAAAAATCGAAAATCCGAGATAGCCAAAACGTTTGTTGGTTGATTGCGAGTTGAGCCATATAAAGTTTTTACCATAGAAAACCAATAGTTTCTGAGTTATAAGCCGCCAAACATAGGGTTGCAGCGTGACCTCCAGGAATTGCCTGAGGCTATATCTCGGAAACCGTTGTTCGAAGGAAAAAAACCTTGGCACAGCTGGCTTCCCCGCCCATCACAACCCATTAGACCAATTTTAAGCAAAAAATAAAATATGAGGGTGTACGGCTTTGGTCGATCTATCGTGGAATGCCCCATATACATACATACATACATACATACATACATACATACATACATACATACATATATAAATACATACATACATACATACTAGAGTTCTGCACGGCTGCAATTTTCCACAGCCTAGCCACCCCGCAGCCGTGGCTCCACAGCCACAGCCGCCCACAGCCGTGGCAAACTGTGGGCAGCCAGCCGTCAGCCGGCCGTGGATACTTTCAATGAAATGCATCCAAATAGTATATAATAAGTTGTTTTTAGTTGAAACATATAGCCAAAAGCACATTGCAATGGGCTATAGATTCTCAGGCTCATGAAGCATCATAGGTTAAGTGGTTGTGTATATGGCTTTAGGCCGAAGGCCTGAAGCCTGATGCGCATCGCATGCCTTCACAAGCCCTTGCAAGGGGTTAAGAAAGATGGGTAGGTAGGTACCTACATCAACAGAAAACATAAACAACGAACCAGAATAGAAGCACTAGCAGTGTAGACATCTAATGCCAAATCCTGAAGCATGGTTGTGGGACAGAACGACAGACCCTGATACTTTCCATTATCAATGTTAGGTATGGAAAATGAAACTGAAGTTGATGGACTGTCAAACAGTGATTGTCTAGTCAAAACTCTTGCTTCTTTCTTACCTTGCATATTTTCTGGGGTGTGATATGCCAGGCTTGAAGCAGCCTTCTGAGCAAGTCTCTAACTAATTTGATATGCAAGGCATCAAAACACTAGTGAGCATCCAAGAAAGAAAAACATTCATCTATTTTGATTTTTCCAAATAATGATCTTCGCTCAAATCCCCAAGGACGTGCGAGCCACAATTGCCTCTTTTAATCAAAAATTTCTTTGAGTTTTTAATGACGTCAATAGCAAAGAAGTGGCAATAAATTGTTTTGTGTCACTATAAACAGCCATAAAAATTAAAATCAATAAATAATAATGCTAAACAGTAGAAAACTTGCTCTCAAACAAAGATGAATTATCAAATTTTTACGTTTTCAAAAGAAGACGTCATTTTATTAGTAAAGTCAACAGCTCGCGTAAGAAATATTGTGTTCAGGGTTTTCACCATCATGTGAATTACGTGTTCAGGGTTTTCACCATCATGTGAATTAACCGTAAGTAAGGTTCATGCTCACTTATAATCTAATTCCATTGGCTTCGTTGATCAGCATTTTCTGTTAGCGGTCACTCACACACCAGTTAGAACATAAAGCGCCAGTTTTATATTATGTAATTGGACTTGCCGAAAATCAAGAAATACATCTAAGAGTTATTTTAGATAATATTTTATGAAGCCTTTACCTGCCTTTACCTAGACGTGATTTCTTTTTCTTTTACCTGAAAGAATTATTGAACGCTCGTCTTCAATAGCTGTAAGGTGCTCTCCTAATGACCAGGTGAGATTGATTTGAGAGGGATGTGACAATGCAACATATTGCATTTTCTGAAACTGTCAAGCTCTTAAGATGATGAAGGAACAATCGGTACCTATAATTAGTATTCTGTACCAGAGTGCAAACTCCCCTACAGCAAATGGTAAAACCATTACAGGTTTTTAAAGGCTTCACCACTTTCAATGTTGCTGGGCATCCTTTGCATGATTTTTACAGGCTAGACTGCTTATCAGAATGTAAGATTGAGGATTTAAAATTTTATATTTGAGTACTTAAGATTGAGCTTGAAATCTCACAGCCGTGGCCACAGCCGTAGCCGTGTTCTTGGAGATATTTGCAGCCGCCCCGGCCCACAGCCGTGGGGCTGCAGCCAGCCGCGGCTGCAGCCGGCCGGTGCAGACCTCTAATACATACATACATACATACATACATACATACATACATACATACATACATACATACATACATACATACATACATATATACATACATACATACACTTGCGTACTAACCCGGTAACGGGGAGCGACTTTGTTCCGTGGTGCAATTCAGGCCTCGTTCTGGTGCCGTGGTGTCTTTGTTGGTGATCTTCCTTTCGATGGGTAGGCCTCGACGCCGGTGCTGGTGTCGTGCAGGTTACGATAAGCACGATAGTTACCTACAATAAATAAGATAGTAGCAATAGGTACGATAACTACAATAGTTACAATAGCTAATGTAGCTACAGGTAGTTATTGGAGTTACGAGAACTATGAGAGCAAAGATAGGTACCTATGGTTAAGAAGCTTGCGATTGTTACTTATGATGGCTACGATAGTTACGATTAGGGTATCGGAGTCGTAGTAGCGCTGTTCCGACTCCGACTCCGACTCCGACTCCGAAACCCTGGTTACGATAATTATGATAACTACAAATTACGATAGTTACGATAGATACAAAATCTACGATAGTTCCGATAGTTACACTGCATATGATATTTTTGATATTCTAGTTTTTACGATCGTAACGATAAATACGAAAATAACGATAGTTACGATAGCTATGGTGAGCAGAAATCGCCATGCTGTGTGGATCGCTCATGATCGTAAAAACTATCTATAAAAAACATTATAATACAATACATTCCATTACATTACAAAACACGACGTTTCAGTGGATATTAAAACCTAGTACCTGCCTATGTACAGTTCATCGTAAGATTCACTGCTAGCCTCTATCCCATCCTTTCCTCAGATCCTTGCATCCTCCACTATCATCTTTCCACCTAACCTCCGCTATGATCCCATCCTCGGATATCCTATCCTCCTTCGCTATCTCGGCTCTGTCCTGCTATCCCCCTTCCCTGTGTACTCTATCCTCTATCTCTTATCTTCTATCTTCGATATGGTATCGTTTATCTTCTATGCTCCAATTCTCCACGATCTTCTGTGCTCTATCATTCAGTATCTTGCACTGTCGATCATATCAGTGCAATTTATTTCAGCAAAATTCGCTCATTAATCGCCATTTCCTGCCATCGAATTATACAACGCAAATGGATTAAATGACATTTATACTTTTCACATACACACCGACTAAAAGGGGCAAAATAAAAATAAAGTTAAACTAAAACGACAATGACGATCCTCTATCTTCTAACGCCTATCTTCCTATTTAAGTATAATATTTAACATTATTTGTCTTCATACCTATATTGCATCCCTTACCCTACCGTAGGTATCTTATCCCGCATTGTCTATCATCCTGATTAAAGATGTTAATCAGATACCAACTTTTTGGTATACCGATACCTAACCGATACCAACTTGGTATTTGGTAATTTAAAACAGGTTAGGTTAGGTTAGGTTAGGTTAGGTTAGGTTAGGTTAGGTTAGGTTAGGTTAGGTATGTTTTTGGTATTTTGTTGGTATTATGAATCCTCGCTGATGTATATGGAGCTGTGAATTTGGTAAAAAGTTGGTATTTTCCTTGCATTCCCTAGTTAGTTTGGTTTCGGTATTTTCCCATGGTTTTGGCTGGTAGTTGGTTTGGCATCGGTATCCTGATTTTCTGCAACTGACATAACTAATCTTAATCCTCTGCCCTCTACCTTTAAGCCCTATATTCCTGTCATAGTACCTCAGAACATTCCATCCGTTACATCCTGCCTCGTGAGTGGTCATAGTAACAATTACTCGACATCCTTTGAGCGGGCTAGTTGACATTTTCATTGCCCGAAATCAAATTATTAGGTTATGCACACAAACAAAATAAGGGTGCCTGAAGCATTTAGGATAAGAGAGGAACAAGTTCTCCGGAAACGGATTTCCTCCGGAGACACGTTGTCAAAGGCTTTGCAGCACGCGTCATTTTATTTCACATCAAGCACTTAAGTGATTGACGTAAAGTAGTGAGGCCGTTAGATATATTGGCTGCAACAGATAGGGTGCAATAGATACAACCAAATGCAGGAGCATATCCAACACGACATACAACGACAGAAGATTGCTCTGTCAGCTCAGGTTATAGCGAAGCAGTGCTACTATAAATGATACCACTAGGTGACTCAATGACATCACTGCTTCACTGACTGTGACATCACAGTGACACTGTCTGTGACATCACAGTGACACTGACTGTGACATCACAGTGACACTGACTGTGACATCACAGTGACACTAACGAGAGACACCAGAGTATGTGATACAGATGCTAAATCAGGTCATATTGCGGTTTTGATTACACTTACTCTACAATTGCTTAATTTCTACCCAACAGACGATGTAGCCAAGTTCCGACACGTACCGTCGATTTTGCGGTGCCTTTGTTGAGGAAAATCAACAAGCCAATTAAATAACTTCTGTGTTTGCTTAATGTCTCTAGCTCATGGATCATCTTAGTGCCATGTGCGAGACCTTGAAAATTGCAAAGCTATGATACTTAGGTGTTGTTTTTATCCGCTGGGACTGAGAGCGTGAGATGATGTTTTTCGTACACCAGCGTAGATGGGTAGCCATACGGCTTCCACGGTTGACAGTGATGACATCAGTCATCTTTTGCAAGCTCGTTAAGCTCTCAGTCCCAGCGGATAAAAACAACACCTAAGAATGATCCGCATAAAACTTGGCAGAAAGCTCGTCAAAGTACTTGGTCTGTATAGCTCAGAGGTAGAGCATTGGAGCGCTAATCCAAAGGACCGGGGTTCGAGTCCCCGTACAGCCCAAAGCTTTAACGAGTTTGCAAAAGATGACTGATGTCATCACTGTCAACCGTGGAAGCCGTATGGCTACCCATCTACGCTGGAGTACGAAATACATCATCTCACAAAGCTATGATAGCATCATTAGTGCGTAGTAAATTTCAGTCGGATCGGCTAGTTGTTAGCGACTAGCAGCAGCCAGACGCTGCTGCTTAGTTTTTCTCTTCCTTGATGCGCTTTAGTGCGCCTCCTGGTTCCTTGCTGTCGTCCGCGTCACGTTCCCGTTTCGGTGCAGCCTCATTCCTTTTATCCTCAGCATTCTTTTGCTCCTTGGCCGTTTTGTACCATGTCTTCAAATATCGCTCCCTCTGTGACAGCCAGGGGTTGGGCAGTTCACACAGGCTAGGGATCAGCACCATGTTTGTGACGCCGCTTTCGATCCTGTTGTTCCGTGGCTGAAGACGACCGTTTTTGGCTACAACCACAAACGGGCTGGGAAACTTTCCTGTCTTCCGCATATGACGGAATTCGGCAGCCGGTTGCCCGACTAGAGCCAGGGTGAAGCCTTTCTTTAGCCCGGTCGTCTCGTCCACCAGCTTTAGTTCAATTTCATTAGTGTCATGGTCGTTTTTATGTATTTCTACGACTTTTTTGCACATACCGATGACGTCATACATGGCACGGTCCTTTTTCGTACCATCACCGATCTGTTTTCTCAGCTCGTCGATTTTTGTGAAGTTGTACATTCTGTGCGGCAGCTCTTGCATTTCTGGCTTCTCGATGCTTTTTGACTTCTCAGTAAACACCAGCTGGTGATCGGCTTCAATAGGAATTCGATATCGCTCTCGATCTTCTTGACTTATTTTTTCTGCTACCAGGTGAGTAAATGTATAAACACCGTTGATGACGACCTCTTTCATTTTGTCACCGAACTTATCGCACCTTATCCTGATTTCTCCAGTGTGGTCGCAGCACTCCAGGAACGAATGTTGAAAGTTGGCGGTGAGAGTGCTCCTGTTCATAACTCTTGCAGTGACGTTGAAGCGTATGTCACCACTGACAAAACACTCTATGGGTGTTATATGCATAATGCACAGCTTTGTGTTCCTCCCTTGTTCTGTTTATCCCCAGTCTTCTTCTATGCACACCGATTCTTTTTCCAGCCTTGACAGACGACACCTGATGGTAAAGAGCAAAATTAGCGATCTAACGGCATATTTTTTTTTGTTTCAAGCAGCAGAGTGTCAAACAAAAGCAAACGGCAGTCGATGTAGGCATACACTTATTTGCAATGGTTGATTGCAACGTTCGCCAACAAACTCAGCAGTAGCTGCGTTTAACCTTCGCCCCAGTGGGGGGAGGGGGGCATATGTTACCACCCTGTCGCGTTTTTTTTTGCGTGTGAATAAAAAACCGCGGCGCGTAGCGCCGCGCCGCTCGGATTAGCTTTTTGCACATCAATTTTGGACAATGTGTGAAATTTTTGACCCCAGGTCATGTCAGGTCAGGTCCTACATTTCAAGGTCAGTTCACCAGATCATTTCGAATGACCCAACCTCAAATCACTTTTTTGCAACTTTGTCATCGTGTCAGAGCTACAGTAGATGACTGAGGCATTTGAAAGTCGTAGGATATGATGATGTTATTAATAGCTACATGTTGTATATTTCGGAATTTCGATATCGCTGATCTAAGGTCAGGTTGCAATTTCTTGACCAACCCATCATAAGTCAACGTTTCCACTAAAACGCGTCGGAATGGCCCAATATACCATGAATGACTTCATATACGATCAACCTTGACTACCTTGAGGCCTTTTTTGCTCTTGGGGAAACTGTAAGCTCATGTGACGTCATCAAGGGTCACCGAAGGTTTTTTTTTGCTAATAACTCCTTACAAGAACGGGATACAGCCGCGCGGGTGGTCTCATTCAGGTGACCTTGACACCCACCCTAATGCATGGGGGCAACATCATATCACATGTTTGAACGCTTGAACCACGAAAAGACTGCAAACGCGCGGCTAATGCGAGCCGACATACGCCGAATCGCGATATCGGCCAAACATGGTCTCGAAAAGTAAGTCACAGGTCAAAGGTCATTAGGGTCAGGGTCATGAAATTTTCAGGGTAGGTGTGAAATTGATCAATGCGAGTGTACTGAAAGTTTCGTTGCGATTGGCCGCTTTTTGCGCGAGTTATTCGCGAAAAACAGAGGGCGTCTGTTCGACCTCCCCTATACGGGCGAGGGGGGAATGACCCAATGACCCCTATAGCCCTCAGATGTAGCCCTGTTTATAGCGGTTTACATGTATGCTAGGGTGAACCCACCCACCAGCATACGGCTGGACCCTAAAACAGATGATCTTGACATAACGAAGCCTGACCGATGGCTTGTATGCTGATCTATTTATTTGTGATGTCTTACGTTTCTAATTGCTACTTTAAGTCAGTTACCGCAATCTATAAAATATGATGGGCTTTGCTTTTTCGGCAAAACAAAGCAACTTATCTACTTAGTTGCCACATGCAAATTTTGCACTCAATACACATGGTTTTGGACTATCTATTCCTCATTTCACAAGCATACCATAATTACGCGATACGATTAACCAAAGCAACTATGACCAACCACCTCAGCCCTGGACCTAACCCTGACTCTTCCAATTAAATTAGCTGCCCCGTATCCCCATCGCTCCGCCTCAAATCTTACCGTGCGCTCTGAGCCGGCGCTGCGCTGCTCGATGGCATCAAATGGCGTCTGAGAGCTGTGGGGAGGAGGTTCGGTGAGAGGAGGTGCCCCACCCAGATAGTAACTATCACAGTATCATCAATATCACTATCACTGTCACACTGCAATGCGTCACCCCGTCCTCAACACGGCTCGGATAATCCTATAAGTCCATGTGTAACCCCACTTCAGATAAGCAGCTCGGTGTTCGAGGTGATATGTCTGTGTCTCAATATACACTCAAAATCATGATGCTATAACTCTGTTCCGTTTCAAGTTTGCAGCCGAAGTGCCCTGCTGAAAGCAGTGCGTGATTTCTGTATATATCAATCAATCAATCAATTTTATTTAACATCCCATCATATAGGGACAAAGCATATTGGCATGATACAATACAAGGTGTCTCACACAGTTACACAATACACATCATATTCATGTGACACAAAGACGTACAAACAGCTGTTCCATGCAGCCTGTTCAGCGCAAACCAGTAATCCCGCAAACTTTAACAGGAGTGCTACGATGACACTCGTTGGGGTAAGACAAGCATATGGATCATGGCCCAGGCGTCGCCATTGTTCTGGGCCAGTAGCCAGCGCAGTGAGTCGGCAATACCATCCACTCGTCTGGGAGCGCTAATCAGGTCTCGTGACACATGCCCCCCAGCAACTCTCAATAGTGTTTCATAGTTCATCCCACACAGTGAGAGCATGTGACATCTCTTACATTTTAAGACGCAAATTCTTGAGCGGAGCAAGGCCGTATAAAGCTCAGGCTACACTATCAGCGTTTTTTTTCGGTTTCTGCGTGATTTCGGTTTCCGCGTTTTTACGGTTTCTGCGTTTTTCCGTTCCGGGCGGCCGCCGCGTGGATGGTGTTGTTTATAGCATAGTGATGGATAAGTGATCAAATTAATTTATTATTCATGTTAAATATTATCGTGTTTTAACAAAATTATAATTAAATAATTGTTTTAAAGATTTTACAACTAACAAGAACATATTTTGGATCCTTATCATTTGTCAGCTTAATTACAATTATCATATTTGAAGTACAATGATGAGTTTTGAAACACATTTTGTCTTCTTTAATCATGAATTACACCATTTTCATTATTTACATTTGAAACAGTTCCATCGTCACAATATTATTAGCAACAATCACTTCTAATCATTCATCACTAAAACGAAATCCCGCAGAAACCGAAAAAAGTTCACAGCTCTGAACTTTTTTTCGGTTCCAACTCGTCGGTTTTTGCGGGTTTTCGTTCCACGGGACGCCAGACTGGCAGTGTAGCTTGCGCAATGCATTCGCTATGAGGCGAACTTGACGACGCGAACCGAAATCCCGCAGAAACCGAAAAAACGTCGGAATTCATGCTAGTGTAGCTTAGGCTTAAGAGAGGTAGAATCATCCCGCGATTTCCAATGGACCGGTCGTTAAGCATCAGCATGACGTCACTGGTGGAGACCGGGCGGCGCCCGGCTCCAAGCTGTACGTCGGGTACATTTGGCACCGTATAGTTGTTATTACTGAACGACAAACGTAACGACAACTAATGACTCTTAATAACTTTTTTACTCACCTAAAGCTGATTTCCTTGCCGGTACATTGACGACCCGAGCCCCAGGGTTGACAATCATGGGATATGGGTCGGATGGGCGACCTCGCGACGGGAGGAGGAACGATTGCAATTGTGTCCCGCACCGCCGATTGCATTCTCTATCTGCACCCGGGGGAGGGGATGCAGGGGGCACGTGCCCCCATCGGATCAGGGGGCCTCTCGGGCCAGAGGGGCCTTGCGACGCCAATTGGCGGCTGAGGGTCCACACTCCACGCTGGCATCTTTCGACTCAGAAGGGCCCCACAGGGCTCGGAAGAACACCTTATGTGCTCCGAAGAGCCACACTTCTCTCCATAAGAGCCCCACGCCGGCTTTTTAGTGTCCCTTGTCGGCCTTTGAGGGCCCCTTGCCGGCTTCTCAGGGCCTATTGGCGACCTCTGAGGGCTACTTGCCGGCCTCTGAGGGCCCTTACCGGCCTATCAGGGACCAGCAGCTCTAAGGGTTCCACACACGCCTGCGATGACCCCCTAAACCAATGGTTGAAGGCCCCCACAACGGCGCCTGCGAGGGCCCTCACCGGCGGCTGTGAATGCCCCACACCGGTGCCTAGCTGAGGGTCCAACACTGCCACCTCTGAGTGCAACCAGCACTCCTGAATGAGGTCCCGAAACCAGTGCTTCTTAAGGCCATATATCGGCCGCTCTTGGGGCTCAACGCCGGAGCCGCATCGAACGGCCACTCACCGGTGACTTTTGAGGGCCCCACACCGACGACTCTGAGGGCCCCACTGGCGTCTGAGTGTACCTTGCTGGTCTCTAAGGACTCCACAGGGCTCCCGAAGGCACCGCAGACCTCTTGAGAGCCCCTTGTCGGTCTCTGAGAGCCCCTGTCGGCCTGTTAAGGGTTCGAGCCAGCAGCTCTAAGGGTCGGTTCCACACCCGACTGTGACAACCCCACACTGCAGTGTCTGAGGCCCACAACGGCAACTGTGAGGACCCTCACCGGCGCCTCTGAGGGCCCGCAGCGGCACCTCTGGGGGCCCCGCACCAATGCCTCTGAGAGCATCACACCGGTACATACCTACCTGTGAGGGCCCACACCAGTGCCTCCAAAGAGTTCATAACCGGCGGCCCTGAGGGCCCTACACGGGTGATTTTGAGGGGCGTACTGAAGGCACCACACAATCCCTTAGTCTCGCTTAGCTTCTATCCCAATCCCATACCGGCTTCTATCCCAATTCCGGCTCAACTGATTATATCAGCCCCCCCCCCCCTCCATGGGTCAGCAGCGCCGCGCCGGCGCCGGGGGCCAGCGCCATCGGGGCGGCAGTCGGCCACGCGCACTCAATGGTTAGCGCTTAGCACCGACGGCTAGCGCACGCCCGGTGTGTTACCGGCCGTGAGCCGCTCCAAAACGGCTGCAGTAACTGGTCGATATAGGTAGTAAGCAGATGCAGAGATGCAGGTGGATTGATGACCGGCAAGCTTTTGTGTTTTACGAGGGTGAAGGGTCGAAGTCGGCTGCTAAGTGGTGAGAGGATTTTATCAGATGCCGGTTCACTATGACCTTTGTCCGGGTCCTGGTATCCTGACGCACTCTTGGAGATCCGAATCACAGCAAAACTCCATCCACGACTGTATCTATACGGCTTACGGTTTTCTGAAAACCTATACGGCTTACGCTTTTCTGAAAACGTCTGCGTTTGGCCTTCTACGGGCCCGGCCGGCCGGCCGGCCCCGATTGGCGGTCCACCAGTGACGTCACCGGTAGTGTTAAGCTGATTGGCGAATAATACATGGGAAGAACCGGGACGACATCCCCCTGGAGCGGAGGAGCGTCGAGCGATCTGCCGAAGAAACTCCAACTGCAAGCTTATATGGAACAGACTATGGCTTAATTATAACTAATTATAACTTAATATAACTAATTATAACTTAATATAACTAATTATAACTTAATTATTATAACTACTATGGCTAGTAGCAATGGTTAGGCACGGTCATGGCCGTTATGAGCAATAGCAACAGCCAACATAACTCGAAAATTTTTTACGGCAAACATTGGTCTAACAAGTGAGTCACTCAGGCTCTTCAACACAGCTAGGATGATAATCCTACAAGTCCCCTTGTAATCCTGATAAGGGTATCGGCGTGTGGTCCGATCACATGACACTGATAGGGGAGCAATGTCCGGTTAGTCCAAGATTACTTTACTACTCAGGGTTAGTCAGCAGTCTTTTAAAGGTGAGATAGTGTCTGAATATACATATAGCCGGGGCGTGATAAAGCGATAACCAGAAGCGGTGTGTGTATCCACTTGGCTGCAAACGACATACGTACCTCGCACAGAAAATAGGCCGTATGATAATCATATGCATGGCAATGACAATCATATGTACATTTGATGTCAGCAGGCTTTATGGGCGCCGCAGGCCGGTTTTCGCCCGATCTTCGATTTGACCGTTTCCCGTGTTAACCCCATGGCGCACGCGAGCGCGTGCTGACGGCGCATTAGTGTATGACATACACTAATCGTTTGATTTATAGGGTAACTGAATGACCTCCGCTGAAGCCTGTCGCGATTTAGGTAAATATCTCATCATTCGTTTATATCAATTCGCCATTCACCAGAATATCCCTATGTTAATTCCGGCATACCTTGCTAACATTTCGTCAAAAATAAAAACATATACGCTGCTTTATAACGGATAAATTTGAGCGCGTACAGTGCGAGTCATAACTCGTAGGATATTTATTTAGGTAGGTACTTAAAAGCGGCACCTGTTCATGAGCGTCATAATTGGACGTAGTTAGCTGATATGCCATCAGTTAGTTTAACCCGCGCCCCACTGGGGGGGGGGCTATTTATAGCCCCCCTCCCGTTTTTCTGCAATAACTTCCAAACCGCTTAACGGATCGACGCCAAACTTACAGTACCTTCGGCTGAATCAATTTGACACCTTGTGTAAAAATTTGAACTTCGTAGCTACCATAGGTCGGCCGGAAATGACGTCAGAGTGACGTCACGTTCGTCCGATTTCGACGCAAAACATTGAACCACGGCAATCGCTCCCAAGAGCTCAGTTTTTAAGCTAGATCCAATTTCTTTGCATGAAAGGACTCAGAATTCACCGCGCTATCACACTGCTATCTCGGATTTTCAAAATTTTGAAAATTTCGAAAATTTGATATAATAATATTCAAAATTTGTATTTTTATATTTTTTTCAAAAAGTTTTTGACTTTTCGAAAAAACCGGAATATATGTGACAGAACGCATGATTATGACTAACTCTAGCAAGTTTCAGCTAAATATCTTCAAAAATGGCCAAGTTATACGCATTATTGCAAAAAATTCACAATAATCAATTTTTCAAATCAATTTTTCAGTACGTATTTGGCATCGTACACCAATATAAATGACACCATCGTGTTCCTGAGCTCAAACTGCATCCAATAGACACCTTTTT